GAATTTTTCCTGGATAAGAAGATGATTGAGATTACGAGAACAAGATGTTAATTTAGTGAAAGCTGCTCTTTGAGAGTTGTGGGCTTTTCAGTTCAGCAGTTTATGAACAAATTCTGTACAACCAAAGGTACACAGAAGGATGAATCAGGTCTGCAGTGCTTGAGTGGGAAAAGCTGAGTGATAAAAAAATGCTTGCTTTGAAATTGAAATAAGAAAATTGGGCCTGTTGTTCATAAAGGAATTTAGATACTGAGATTTCTTTTAAGATCTGTGATTTAATCTTGTCTTCCTTCATCACCTCCAGTAAATGAATAGGAGCAAAACATACATTTTTATGGGCAAAGGAAGTGGCTTTGAAAGGAAAGCAAAGCACTGCTGTATTTCTTTTATTCCAGGAGATGAATGTTATTTCATTAAAGGCTGGGAAAATATGTTTCCCTTATAGCTGTTATTATCTCATTTAAGTCATTTATCAGCATTAGATTACTGAGCCTGTGCCATTGCAAGTGCAAGATGTAACTCGTTTTCTGGTGTGTCTGTCAGAGCTGCAGGCTCAGACTCTGCTATGGGAGTTTAATTAAAACCAAAAAAATAAAAAAAAAAAACATTGCCTGCTCACAGTCACCACTGTCTTTTTGGAGATCAGTAGCACTTTCAGCTCAATAATAAAATAATTCAGTGTACAGAAGATAAAATGTGAGCTGCTGATAAACTCGCTGGCAAGTTTTAAGAAACTATTCCACGAGGAAAAGCGTTATTTTGGAATTCCCATCTTGTAGGGCTGAATGGAAGAATCTTCCATGCTGGCCGAAAATACCTGTGTGACAAGTGAGCTGGGTAATGGTAACACCTCATCTGCACTGCTTTTAGAGTTGCACCCAATGAAACAATGGCTGGTTGGAACAGATGGTTCCTGAAATCAGAGAATAACCAAGCCAACTGGGACAAAATTTAGTGGTTGTCTCAAGGGTAGGGAGCACAAATTGACACTTGTGAAAATATGGAATAAAGGAAATTAATGGATGTGTTTACAGCCCTGTCATTTCCCCCCCTTAAGTACTGAATAGCATAAAAAGGCCATGAAAACTCGAGTTTAGATGATGCAACTTCCCTTCTGCTGAATTCACAACTCCAGGCATTCTCTGGTATATTAACACCATGAGCCACCAGTCAATTAAGAGCTTCTTAATGAAGAAGAAGAGTTCACAAGCCGTCAGCATTTTGCTAATTATAGGAACAACTGTTGGACAAACACTGCCTCCAAACTCTGGAGTTTGTAAATGGCATTAACACTGCGGCTTAGTGCTGATGTTACCTGCAGTGATAATACAGGATTCACCTCAGCATCAAAGTTTTTATAGCTGCTAAGAATTTCAGTTTCTTGATTTATGTAAAGCAGGTTTTGCTCACCTCATGATCAGGGACAACATCTTCAAAAGTTGTAGCTAAATACTTTTCTTCCTCCATGAAATCCAAGCAGTATATCCCAGAGTCTGTACTTGAAAGGGAAGTCTGAAAGGGTTGTTACTACTCAGGTACACATTTTAATAGACATACAACCCAAATATGTTAAATTAAGGTGTAAACCTACTATGTGGTTATTAGACTTGAGTTTTGAATTCTGTTTTTGCTGTCTATCAGTAAATAAACTGCATTTAATGGGTGAGAATTGTTCAGTAGCCCTCGTTGCTGGACTCTGTTCTCCCACAGAGATATTGGTAAGTAAGGACAGACTGGGGTCATTCAACTTATTTGGAGGGGGGGAAAAACCCAAATCCAACCTGCAGGGATCGTTTTTCTACAGACACGATTTCAAACAAGTATTTGGATGGTTTGGATGAATGTTGTGTTGAAAGCTGTCCTTTGAAAACTGAAGCCTCCTACTCCCAATCTTTCCTTCTTGTGCACGAAGCTGGTTTTCAGCAGCAGATTTGAGTATGTGGAGAAAATCCTTTGGGCTTGGTACAGCACATGATTCCAGGGGTTATTTTTGCACTTCTCCCCAAGATGCCTTTGAGGAACAGGCCCGAACCCTGTGCGATCAGTGATGTGCTACCTCAGGAGACAGGGAGGGCAACCGGAGCGAGGGCAGAGGAACCAGAAGGGAAGGGGTTCTGACTGTTTGGTTAAAATATTAATTTTCACATATGATTTAATTACTGAGATTCCCTGAGATAAAGGTTTGGAATTCAGGCTAAATTCCGGCGTTGCAATTAGCAAGAAAGAAGTTGAATCTGCAGCCTTTGGGTCATTAAAAAAATCATATAATCACTTGATCATTTGTAGTACTTTCTGACAACAAGGTACTTGTAAAGACACATTTGTATTCATGCTTTTAGTGTACTTAAAGCTATATTGATTTTGGTTTACATTGTAGCTTTGTTTGCTTGTTTGTTTGTGTAAACCTTCCCTTTTCTCTCTGGTGGAGTATTTGCTTTTGAGCACCGTCAGCTTCCATGTGTAAAACTCCTAAAAAAAAGTCCCTCAGGGGCGTGTGCTTAGGAAGAGGGGATGTGATAGGTATCATGTGGTGCAAAGGACCTTGACTCTGTGTTTTATCTTGTCTCTTGTAAAGAAATTATCTTCAAATGACAGTTTGGTGACAGTTTGTCTTCAGTTTCTCTGTCACTGAAACAACGTCGTTGAACTCAACTAAAAATCTGCATGTAAGGAAACAAAACATTTCATGAGATTACTGAATCCATTGGAAAAGCCCAAAGATGCAAAATGAGTATTTCCTGGTGTGGTAAGACTGCAGGAAACTGCTGCTGTTGCCTGCTGAGGGGATTTTGTCAAAATGGATTTGAATTTGTAATGTGCTGGAGTGAGTAAATGGCTGAGGCAGAAGTACCGACCAAAATGCTTTTTAAAGGCTTAAAAGAACAGGGTAAAGGACAAACCAGTGACAACCTGCTGAAGAATTAGAGTTGGCAAACCAGGAAAGAAAACAGATCTGAGTACTCCCAACTTCCAGGACTCTTAAGCTTTAAAACACGGTGCTGAATTTTTGAGTATTTAATGGAAATAGTGTCTGGTATTTGTATGGCAATGTATATAATGTATGGGTGAATTGTTGGATTGCTCTTCGTGTAGGCAAGAACTTCTTACTCTGCGCTGTGATCGATATTCAGGTGTATGGAAAGTGTCTTGAAGTGATGGGCAGTGCAGTAATTTAATTTTGAGGTAAACAAAATTATGAATGAGAAAGGACTGCTTGTGTCTTCTTAGCCGGAAACAAATGGAATATAATCATGTGGGCTTAACTGTGGTCTGAGCTTCCAGCAGTAATGGAGATGTCAGCACTTTTCAGTGTCCTACTGAGGGCAAAGATGCTTTTCTCAACCAGAATGTGCAGATTTACCCCTTGTGTGCTCAAATATTTGATATTGGTTAGTTCTTTTACAAAGGTCATTTAAAAATAAAAATATATTTTAGTGTCTTTATGGGCACATGCACATCCCAGGACAGGGTGCAGTGCTAAAAGCCATCTTTCAGTCCTCAGAGGGAACTTTTTGTACCTGTCAGAATCTGTGCTGGAGTCAAACCTTATCCAGATGCTCCTGACTGAGGCCTGGAGCTATCCAAGGGTTCTGTCACCGTGAATTCCTGTGCTACCTTCCCCTTCCCCCTGCTGCGTGTTTAGAGGGAAGGTCTGATTTCTTAACAGCAGAAGCTGCAGAAAATGTGCTGAAGTTTGCTGAGAGGAATTTAAAAGGGAATATTTTGGTCTTGGCACGCAGCTGAGTTGTAAGGAGAATCGTTGTGCTGGCATCCATCTGTCGCAGATTAAAATAGGTTGGGCCCAGGGTTTGGGAAGTGAGTGAGTGCGGCGTGATGAGTGACCGAAATAAACCCTCTGGAATGGGTTGGGCGACTGAAAGAAGTGGGAAAGCAGGAGCTTTCAGGATATTCTCACCAAGTGAAAGAGTTGGTTCTACCCTGTGTTTGCGACGGGGAGGTGGAATTAGTTGAGGAACAGGGTGGGCCGGAGGCGTTCCAGAGGAACACAGAGTCCCGGTCCGACGGTGTGCGTGCCGACCTCTTCCTCTCCAATCACACCCCCACCAGACAGGCTCCCAAAGTTACTGAGCTGCTGTTTGCAACTCCCTCCCACACTGTTTATTGAAGTATGAGCATTGCTGCTGTCTCTGAGCGTGTTCCCAAATGCCTATGCTGTTTAATCCTTATTTCTCTTGCACAACTTCGGTTTTTCTCCTGCTCTCCAGGTGCCTTAGGAGCCAATTTACCTGTGTGGAGGTTCAAACAGTGTTACTTCATGTCATAATCATAGACAAAAGCAAGAGAGCTGATGCATTTCACACTCCCTTGTTTAACAGTTCATCCCACAACGTGGCTGAAAAAATGAAAACGTGTTTTTGCAGGTTTTTTAACCTTGTTTTTCACTGGGTGATGACAGGCACTTTGGGGCTGGGCAGGTTTACAACGTGATCCTGGGCTCAGCCTGGTGTGCAGTGCTGCCCACTCTGAGCATATATATCCAAAAATAAAATATTAAAAAAATTAATATATATAAATATATAAATAACAGATATAGAGATCTGTAAATGAGATATAAAATTATATGTACAGGATGTATATATACATACATATGTGTGTATATATATATATACATACACATATATATATGTATAATGCCTGAGAAAACTACGGCTGGCAAGTCAATGCACTTATTTTTTTTCTTGTTGACAATATCAGTTGCTATGATTTATGGTGGGGTGTTTCTTTTTTTTTTGGTTCTTGCTAAACTTTGAACTCCAGCAATTACTGCACTATTTTGCTCACTCCAATGGGTCTGCAGTTCTTTCTGGCCGTTATTGCCTAATTTGAGTATGTTAATTAATGCAGATATAATGCGAAGTCAGGGCTTTTCACTGTTTTATTTTCCTGCAGCATAAAATGTGAGAACCTTTCACCAGTGATGAAGTTGTGCTTTCTTTTAAGCAGGAGCTAATTAGAGATTTTTTTTTTCTTTTTTACAGTCTGACAGCAATGCAAGCTTCCTCCGAGCTGCCCGGGCTGGCAATCTGGACAAAGTAGTGGAATATCTGAAAAGTGGAATAGACATCAACACCTGCAATCAGGTAAGATATTTGAAGGACAGAAGTTTGCAAAGGTGAGTTGTGAGACACCTCCCCTAGTTTTTCCAGGCTGGATTCCTTCATACCAGTGTTTTGATTCACCTTGAGGCATGTTTTCAGTCTTGATCTTCAGTGGTCTCTTGTTTAATGTAATTTTTTTACATACTCAGTGTTTTGTGTTTAAGCCCTGTAGAAGAGGACATTTTGAGTGTCACTGGGTCAAATCCAGTTCAACATCTGCACTCACATTTTTGCTTAACATAACTACCTTTCCTTTCAGGAAAGTTGTTACTGCTGTAAAAACACATTGTTAAAGTGTCACTGTTGATGTGACTGTAATGAGATAGAATGTTTTAACTTGGCTCTTTTGTGGGTCTGTCATATAAATCCAATTACTTTGGCTTCATAGCTTGGGGACCTACATTTGCAACATTTATTTAAGTGACTGGAACCATCAAATTTAATAGGACTGTGATGGAAAATAAATATGCAAATAAGTGTCTGCATCAGTCCTGAAAAGTGTTTTGAGGTTCTGGTGAAATCAGTGCAGTTTTTTGATGGGGGAATTTGACAGCTCAGGTTTTATGGTGTCCAGCTTTCCCCTAACTCTTAGCCAGATGGAATCAAAATGACCACTAACTGGACGGTGGCTTTGCCTTTTGGAAGTAAAACCCTGGAATTGTGGCCCCTTTATTTTGGAAAAAAAGAGTAAATTGAAGAATAAGAAACAAAATAATCTAAAATATTTGGAGGCATCACCTTCCCTGTTTGAAGGAAAGCTGCAGGTGATTAAAGTAAGGATGTGCCAAATGGAAGTTGGGGCACAGGGCTGAGAGCAGCTCTGTTGTCAGTGCCAAGGAATTTAATGATGAGGAAAATAAGAGGCTTTTCATCTGCTGCTTATTGAAAATATACAGAAAAGAGCCTTCTCTTACTGTCTAGGAGAAAGTTCCCATTAAAAGCCTTGCTGTCAAGGAAGAACTTGCTGAGTTATATGGGACATGACCTGGCAAACTTCAAGTTCCCCAATCAGGACAGAGTAAATCAGACTCAAGTTTGATTACTATTCAAATAGATCCAGCAGATTTTCCATTTTTATTATAAGCACCAGTATTAACAAAGAGATTCACCCCCAGGACAGAGCACAGTTAATGTGATAATTACTTGGGAGCATTATAAGGTTTTTTTTTCCAGCCAGTTCATATTCTCTTGGTGGTTGTGAGAGGAATATGAGCAGGGTTGCTGCAGATTTGTCTCCTGAGGAAAGTGCTTCCCACCTGCACCTGGTGCAAAGCTCCTCTTGCACTGCGTGGGTGGGATCAGAGCCAGGTGAGTGCAAACATCAGGAGAGGGGCTGTGGAATTTCTTAGTGGTTGGAAATAGATGAAGCACTCATGGATGTTATTATGGGGGGAAAAAAAAAAAGTGGTTGAGTAGTGTGCAAAACAGGAAAAATAACATATGAACGTGATTTAAGTAAGTAATGTGACTTGATGTTCCAGTTAAGCCTCCTCTGCTAGAGGTTAGGGAATAGTGAGGAAGCCATGGCAGCTCCTTCTGCAGCCTTCCAGTTATTCCTTCTCCTCCTCCTCCTCAGGGTTTGACTGGGATGTCCACATGGTTGTGTTCCAGCTGTCTGTGGGGAGAAGTCAACACAGCATAGTCTGTGCAGAATGCAGGGGTGTCTTTTATTTTTAAGACTGAGCCATCTCATGCTCTTTCACAAATGAAGCCTTGTTACATGCAGGTTGTTTTATTCCCCAGTATAATGCTATTTTTAGACGAGATCCCATCTGGGAAAACCGTACATAATGTTAAGAATAAGCTTTCCTGAACAGAGGGAGCACCAGGAGGTGCTTTCTCAAGTTCAGTGTTTGTTTCTCAGATCCTAAGTTTTTTCAGAGAGGTCTGTCTTTATGGATAATCAAAGTATTTTTCCCAATGTAACTGTTTCCAAAATCTGATGGAGCTTAATGTTTCTGGATATACTGAATACAGGGAGTCATTACTAATATATAGTTAATAATTAATTATTATTTAATTATGCTTTATTAACTGCTGCTTTCATAAGTTCAATTATTATGGAATTGCACCATCATTTTTTTTGTCTGAAAATCATAAATCAATTATGTTTCTTTGTTTCTGGAGAGAGTTAGAAATGTCAGGGAACATAATTACCCTGTTTTAAGAATAGTCCCTTTAAAAAAAATATCTATATCTAATTCCTGGTATTTTATAGGATGGATAGCTGATGGTCATTGGAAATCTCTGATTCCTTTAGAGCTATTGTGACAAATGTGGTTTTTTAGGATGTGATTGGTGTTTCTAGTAAAGTAGCAAGAGAAAAGAGCTTGCTTCTGCGTGATGTTCAGAATGACCTTTAATTGGACACTCTGCATTTGGGCAGCAGGAGTTAGACCCCAACACGTGACCAGTCCAAGGGTTCACCAGCTGCCTGCTCCCTTTTGAAACAGAATTGATGATCCAAAGGCAACATAAGGTGACGTTTCTCCATCTTGTGCTTGGAGACCTGTCAGTTCTCATGGCGACAGAGTCGCTTCCTTGGAAGGAAAAATTTGCTGCATTTTGGCATTTGTTCTCAAGTCTTCTGCATTCCTAGAAACAGATGTGAAGTCTGATGCCTTGAACAGAACAGGATTCAAATATTAGGTAGTTTGGGGGTCCTCCAGCTCCAGGGCCCCGATTTAGGTCTGCTCGGCTTTGGCTCTTGTTTTGTTGCCTCTCTTGCTGTTAATTCCCTCCCTTGCTCCAAAGGGAGAGGGACTCCTGCTCCCAGCAGTGCCAGCTGCAGCCTGCAGCAGCTCTGTGTCATAAATGAGGTCTGCAGGATGGCCTTTGATGTCACTCAGGGGGTTAATTCATTTGCTCGAGTTCGTAGACTAGAAAGCCCCACAAAAGGAGAATTTTCATCATCTGAAATGATTTTTCTTTTCTCAGCAATTCATTTCGTTTCTTTGTGGTATTTTTAGGAAAAACTTCAATGAACCTTGGGACTTGAGAAAGCCCTTTCCAAATGTTTCTTGAAGAGAGTTTGACCACACACACTTTTTACCTCCCCAAGAGATTTATTCGGCAGCAACCTTAGACTGACATCCATTAAAGAGACAGAGGAAAGAGTTTGACTTTAACAAAGACTATGATGTTTATTTTTAGTTTCTGCCTCTGCTGGGGAGTTAATTTTCGTTGTGTTTTTAAGTTATGCTTTGGCATTGGCCTTTATCATAGAATCATGGAATAGTTAAGGTTGGAAAAGACTCTACCTATGTATGAGTCTGGGACCACAGCATCAGTGGAAGGAACTTGGTGAAAACACATTGCATTTCATACTTGGAAACATTACAGAAATAGGGGGGTTTATTGTTTTATTTTTGTTGGCTTTCATGGTGTTTTTATCTGTAAATTGCTTAAATGTCATTTTAATCTTTGGTGGCAAAGGCACAAAAGGTAGGTAGAAACTCAGCTCTTGGCAAATCTTCCTGCAAAGTGTTGCATCCTAACTCTGGGAGTTAAAAGGGGTCAGACTCTTCACATGAGGAAAGATGAGGGTTAATTTTGTCAACATACATTCTTGCTTCCTAAGATATTTATTAAGCACTTAATAAATACCTTCAAATGGAAGGGAACTTCAGGGAAGTAGGAACTGTTCTATTCAACGAAGGTGGTGAGGCTGGTGATTTAGAAGTTGTAAGGCTCTGCAGGGAGACACTTGAAGAACCAAGCTTGTAAGGCTTAGTATGGTGCTCTTTCATGGGAGTTAAAATTACCAAGGAGCCTCCAGGAGAAAGGCAGTGAGGGTATATGTGTGCTTTGTCCTCATGCTGCACAGTTTTGCTTAGCAGACAACTAATTTCACCCTCCCCAACTTTTTGGTGGGCACGGGAGAGGGGAAAAAAAAAAAGGGACGTGTCAGAAACCTTTGTTGTTCTGAACTGGAAGAATCCAGTTGACAGGAACGGAGGAGTTGCATTGATTAAATCTGAGATTCCATCATCAGAAGTGGCAGGGATCAGCCACGTGGGCCGGGAAATAATTGCAGCGTTGGTTCTGATTAGGGAGGAACAGAACAAAGGTTGCTTTAAGGCTTCAGTTGTGCTGGCCCTCAGCATTTAAAGTGCAGAGCTTGCTGCTGCTTACCCCAGCTTGCTTTATTTAGGGAATTACGGGGTTTGAATGTGTGTAGTGGGAACTATATTTAAGCTAGAGTTTCTTCCTGTGACCTTTTTACTGGACCTCAAGTATTCATTGAATTAAAAAGTTGCAGAGAAACTCATATAATCTATGCAGCAATATCACCTTTCAGGTGCTTAATATGGCATCAGCAGATATGTGTCTCAAAGGGAGGAATACAGGTATTTTAAGAGGTTCCTACTGATTAAGCACTGGGACAAACCTTGTTCTCTCCATCCTTTGGCATGTGGTAAACTAAACTGGAGGCTTCTCCTCATCCTTTTGCATTCAGAGGAGGGTATGGGCCATGAATATTGCAGTTGCTGTGCTGTTTGTGGACTCCAGTCTGCTCCCAAAGAGTCAGAAAGGTTAATAACATGTCACAGCAGTACATCAGCCGTGGACAGCTGTAAGGAGCCCAAGCTGCTCTTGGTATTCCCATGGAAAGTGTTGATGACAGAATCGGTGAGATTAGATATGAGAACGTGTCTCAGTTCTCAAACAAAGAGAAAGAACACGGTGTTTCCCCACAAAACACTGTTTCAAAGCTCTCAGCCACTGTAGGTAGTAATTATGGTTAGTTAATACTCAACTGAGATTAAAACCCCCGGGAAGATTAGAGGTTTCTGAAACCTCTTCAGCCTGCAGAATATTCCCTGACATGTGCAGTGTTCCTCATCTTGGTGATTATGGTCAACCTCACCACGTATTTTTGGCCAAGGATTTATCCTTGATCCAGGGCACGGCACTGCTGCCGCCCCTGGGCTCTGCAGCTCTCTAGTTAAGAGTGTTCCTCTGGATTAAGGAGGATCTGGTTGCTGCTGCTTTTCCCACATAATGGGATTTGAAACCGCGTTTCTCATTAACATTTCTTAACTGCCAGGCTGCAGGAGGGTGTTCCTCTGCTTTTGGCAGCCTGTGAGTGTAGCCTTCCTTCAGTTCCTCTGCTTTTCTCACAGTTCCACTTCTGAATTTGACCACAAAATCTGCCAGTGCTGCTCATGTGGATGTGGAATTAAATGGAGTTAGTGCAGAGCTGCCTTTGGATTGCTGTGTCCCAAGCCATTGGACCCACTCCCATTAAATGCCTCCTGTGAAGTGCTAAGTGCTTTAAAATCCCACTGGGAATTACAAGCCTGAACTGCCTCTGTGCATGGACAAAATGAAAGCCAGAAAGCTGCTTGTTTAGTTCACAACTGAAATGACTGTGAAGCGCTCAGAGATGAGCAAAGTGACAAAAATTATGCAGTGCTGTGCTTGCTGCTGGTGACTCAAATACCTGAGCATCACTCCTGATGCTTCCAGTGTGGAAACCAGGAGAGTGTTGCAGGGAATGGCAGGATCTGTCACCTGCCTGATGTAGCATGAAAATTGTTGTAGGATTGTGAGAAACAGGTTGGCAATTGAGCTACAATAGACTGTCATTTTATTTTTTCCCCCTTGGGTGGAATGGGGATATTAGGAAGAAGAAAAGGTTTCTATGGCTGGAATTTGTCTGAGATTTGTCCTGTTGTTTAATATGGAGAGGATTTAGATGCTGACCTTCTTGGGTTGCTTTTTGGACAATCCTTGCTCTTACTTAATTTTGTTTTCCTTTTTGAGGTTTCAGAACCTCAAAGTTTCATGCAGACTTGCCTAGAAAGCAGCAGGGGTGCCAGAAGAAGGATCGATTTGCAAGCCACAAGTAATCAACCACCATTTTGGTCTGTTTGTGCTTTTGGGTTTCTATTTGATACCAGTTAGCCCAGAGGACAGTCCAGCGTTCAGCTACATCAGCATGGAATAATCCTGATTGAATAGACATATCCTGTGTAAATTTGGCTAAGTCCTGTGATTTCTCAGTGTTGATAATTCCTCAGGGGAACTGGATAAGGTTACAGTAAAGAGCAGGAAGGCAGAAACGTGCTCAAGTTTTGAAATATTGAGCTCCATGGAGATGCCCAAGGTAGGGGGGAAGTGGGAAACTGTCAGAAAGGAAGGAATGTCTTCTGGATCCTCACAAAATGCACTTGGTTTTGATGTCTTTGTTGCTATGAGAAAAGCATCACCGGAGAAGTTTGTCACAGAGAGCCACGTCCAAAATATCTGACTTATGTAGACAGCCAGCTAAGAGATGTAACAGTACTCCAGCTCCTAATCTTCCTCTTATCCCAGGGCAAGGTAGGAATGGGTATCTGATATTTGTAATGGATCTGGCCCTTGTGCTTGCAGAATGGACTCAATGCTCTGCACCTGGCAGCCAAAGAAGGCCACGTGGGACTGGTACAGGAATTGCTGGAAAGAGGGTCGGCCGTGGATTCTGCAACTAAGGTAAGTCACACTTGTCTGCAAGTTTATTCCCAGAAAAAAAAAGTGAAACACATGGGAGAAATACAGGCAAAAAAATATAAATGCATTGCTGATATTTAAACTAGATTTTCTGTTTTGGCCTGGGAACCTTTTTTGCTGAAGCCCTTCGGTAGTAAATGAAGAGGAAAATATTATTTGTACAATAATACAGGGGAAGCATTAAAAGTTTTTAGCGGTCCCAGATTGTTCCTTATTTCCAGTGACAGGTCCACATTAGACAGAGAGTGATTTTTTTCAAATCTGTGAAAATTAGTCAGTGACTTTACCATATCCAGAACCTTTTCTCTCGTGGGCACAGTGGAAAAAACACCCGTGGGATGAGTTGTTTTGCTTTCAGCCTTTGCTTTCAGCTGCTGCTTGAAATGATTCCTGAAGAAGGGTAATAATATTCTTTCATTTTTCCCCCCTTCCTCCAACAGAAAGGGAATACAGCCCTGCACATTGCATCCCTAGCAGGACAAGCTGAAGTTGTCAAAGTTCTGGTGAAGGAAGGTGCCAATATTAATGCACAATCTCAGGTATGGTGCTGTTTTTTTCCTTCTCTCTTCTAAAAGTTACTTGGTGAGGATTTATAAGGTAGGTCTGAGGTTTTAGGCACTGATTCCAAATATCCAAACCTGACAAATCAAGGGAATTGAGGCGTTCACTGGTAAGCAGAGTAAAAGTAAATAACAAATTGAAGTCATTATGTGCTTGTTGTGTGGACAGGAACTCGTGTTGTTGGTGACTGAAATGTTTTAGCATTTCCTGGTGTGCTTTAATAACTTGTTTCAGAAATTTTTCCAAGCATATAAATATTATATTTGAGTGGAATTTGATGAGCAGTAACAAACAAGAGAATTTCTCCATAACTCGATCTATGCAATTGCTTTATATGGTTATTTTTTGGCTAAAAATTTGCAGATAACTTTACTCCAGGCTTCTGAACTCCTTCCTTACGTGATCAGGAAGAATTTCAATCAGAGAGGTTTGTGATGTGCATTTGAACTGGGGAAAGTCACCTTGTCCTGGCAGGGAAACAAACTGTAGAAACTGTGGAGAGCAGGAGATGAACAAATAGCTTGACAAAGTAAATAGGTTTCTCTGTGCTGTCATCACATTAAAAATCAAGAGAGAGAAACTGAAAAGATCTTTAAGCTGCCTGATCTGAAGATTTAAAAAATATTGTCTTTATTATGGTTTTTGGCTCAAAAGAACTCCCAAAGAGCTCTCTGGGGACAGCTGGTGGTCAATTATTCCCCATGCTCTCCTCCCATTAAAGGTAAGAAATGGTGCAATTCCATTGCTCAAAAACTTAGCAAACTCCTGTCATAATGAGCAAACTGGATGAGTTTCTTCATACTTTCTTCAGCATTTTCATGTGTATTGTAAGATAAAGTAACGTCTTTAATGTTAGGGTTTTGAGTATTTGAAGAGAAATAATTCTGAAAAATGTTCCTTTCACGAAGTGTTATCCCTCAAAAAGTCTTCATGAAGCCTTTTTCTTACTCTGGAAAAAGAAATGAGGTTTTCTAAATCAAAAAAAGAAAGTCCAATTGGAATTGAAAGATGTTTTCACAGGTATTATTTTATATAGTATTCTGGTTTGAAAGACATTTGTTGTTAGCAGTGGATGGTTTGTAATGCACACAGAGGTGCTAACAGGCATTTGCTACTTGATTTAATTGAATTAATGTGATGGAGGAAATTTTTCCCCCCATTACTGCTCCCAGGTTGCCTCCAGACAGGATGAATTCCAACTGCTGGGATACATATGTCCTGGATTTGTGACACACTGTCTTAATTAAACAAATCCTGTTGACTTGACTGGGAGGGTGAGTCCTCAACGTGGTGTCATCCAGCTTTGGGGCCTCTGGGTTGGGTCTTTCTGGCCTGCTGTGCTTTTCCAGAAGATAATAGCTGGATTACATCTCCTCAGGCAACAGGGAGGTGTTCAGAAGGCTAAGGAGGAATTCCAGTGAAAGGTGTACTTGAATTATAAAGGAATTTTTTTATGCTCCATGAATTATTAAGTTAATAAAGACTAGACATGTGCTTTATGATATAAGAATAAAAAAGATTCAAACATACGTAACTACAGCTGGTCAAAAAATGGAAATGTGAAGTTATATAGAAAAAGGGAAAAAGAATAATTGAGCAGAATATGCTCAAATACTAAATGTTTTAGTCAGCAAATGCGTAATGGATGAAAAGATGGAAAGAAAAATATTGTTTCAGGAAAGAGCTTCATTGATAAAGTGAGAAATGAGCAAAAATACAAATTAAAGGTAAGATTGAATACAGAAGTGGCAAATCATGACTGAAATTCTCAGCTTGTCTTTCTCCTGTTTTCCCCTCAATTCCATTTTTAAAAACAGGTGCTGCCTTGTCACCCTTAAACCTTTCAGGAGCAGTTGTTGCTATTGGGGGTGTATGACACCCTCTCCTTGGTATCTCTGTTATTTCACACTTTATTTTTTGTAGGCCCCTGTGAAATGCCGTTTGCTGGTAGTGATTTAAAGCCAGGGGAGTTACTCAGGTTGCTCCATCACTTCCTCTTTAAAAAACTCAGTATCTGTCAAGGTCGTTCTCGTTTCCAGTGATGACAATTTGCCGTAGTGACAAAGTTTCTTCTCCGATGATGAACTGGTAGATAAAAGGGTAGTCACAACTCCAGTTTATTTGGTTTACTTTCATTTTCTCCATTAAATGGCATAAAAACACTGGCTTTTATCAGAACTTATGAGCAGTGACATCTGAAAAACCACACTCGTTTTCCAGTTCCTTGCATCAACTAAATAACAGAATTACCTCAGAAAATGCTATTAAAACCACTGGGATTACAAACCCCATCTGTGCTATCTGAGGCTGTTAAGCATTCAGGGCTCTGATTTTATGGATTTGGGGTTTCTATTAGATTACTTTGCTTTGCCCTTCAGCTTCATGTTGGCCTTCGGAGTTGTTATTTTGCTCATCTTCCTCTTTTATGAAGCCTGTTCCTTTCAGGCTAACATGTCATCACTGCTATTTTTAGAGAAGTAATTTCTATTTTGATACAAAGCCTAATTGCACAGTGATTGCTAATTGAGTGACTCCACTTTCACCTGCATCTCTGTCATTTGAGAGCTCACATTTTACTCCAGCCTGTTTCAGGCAAAGGCTGAAATGAGGGCACACCCAGAGATGTAGAAGTCACTGGTCTTTTTTGGCTTATCTCCTCCTAGAACTGGAGAAGTGTGCAATTATTTGGCTCAGTTAGAATTGCTTTTTGCTACAAGTATTGCTGGAGTAGCTATATTTATGTAATGAGTGTCTACAAACCCTTCACTTGGCTGAGTCTGCTCATAGTTCAGTGGGCAGATCTAAATGGGCATCATGAAGTGAAAAAGCAATTTCTGCAGTTTCTCTTCTTGATTTGACTGTGATTTTGGTCCTGTGTAGGTCTGACCAGGCTGCACTAATTGATAATATGAAATCTTCTCTGGGCACTGGATGGTGCAAACCAGAATGCAAAGTTGGTGATAGATCCACTGGGGTGTTCCAGGCTGTTCCTTTGAGCTTTACATTTCCCTGCAGAGCAGAACAAAGTCCATGGACCAATGTCATCTTTTGCACTCTGTGTTCACTTAGGTGGGTGATCCAAAAGGTACTTCTGAATTTCAGTGGAGAATTCAGATGAAGTCTTCAGGGAGCATTGAAATGTTTCATCAGGCAGACCCACGGAAGTGGGATTGGCCGCTGACTTCTCTCACATCCACCCACATACCTCTCACACACTTTCACTGAGCCCAGTGCTATCCTCCTTTCACAGCTGGATCCCTTCTTTACCCCAAACCCATTCTTAGTTACTGCTTAGGCATTGGAAAAGCAATTATTTTTGTGCTCTTCTTCCCATTGAGTGTCTGCTCTTGTGACATGTTCAGAATTCTTATGTGAGTTCTTGATCTTTTTTCCCAAGTGGAAGAAACGTCACCAGATTTAGTCAGTCCAACCCTTCCCCTTAAGAAATTCCCATTTGTCTCTGTTGCTTTCTCTTAAAGTCTGATTGTACCATCTGATTGCTGTGCAGGCATCAGAGATGTCCCATAACAGGAGTATCAACCTGCCAAATGTGTTGATACCCCAAATGCAATAATCTTAATAACTGAGGCAACTTGTAGACTGTCCCTGCAGCAATGATGCTGAGCTGTTCTGACCATGCATTCCTTAAGGAATGGATCCATTGTGACCTTCCTCCATTCCAAACAAGGTCAAGAAAAGCCTCATGTGGAGAGAGTTGCACCTCTTAGGATGAGGTGATGTGACAAATGCCAAGGGATTGAGGTACAAAGAGCTGAAAGGAAAAAGCAACATGAGGCAATACAATCTGCTCCTGTTTGGTAACTCTAAGGGAGGTGTGATGTCCTGGAGTCACCTAAGTAAGAAGTGATTCCCTTTGATTTTAAAATCCCTGCAGCTGAGACAACACTGGAACGTGTTCCCCATTAGCTGTGCGGGTTGTGCTTTGACCCCTGCTTCCTTTAGGGGCCCTCACGAAAGGAGGAGCTCCCTTTTAATCATCAGATTATTTAAAGTGACCCAGATACAGAGAGCAAGGATTAGATAAATCAGTCCTCCCCCAAGCTGATTTGGTTATTTAAAAGCCCTCCGGTTTCCTTTCCTCGACATCCTGCTCTAAGCGCATTGGGAACACATTAGCCAAGGGGTATTTCTGTTGAAATTTGCCCCCGTTACCGTCACCACTTCCCATGTCAACACCTGGGAGATGCTGTTGTGACTGCTGGAGCCTTCTTATCCGGGCAGTCCATGAGGTTGAAGCAACCCTTGGAGCAGCACATCCCCAGCCCCGCGCGTGCATTCCCCAAAAGGAGCTGCAAGAGCTCGTGGAATGTCCACATTCCGTGTCGCCACAAACCCAGGGGAGGATTGAGGTGACTCTCAGAGGAGTGATCAGCTTGTCTCTCTCAGGATGCCCCAGGATTTGCTTTACCAGGGATTGCTCTCCCTGTGGTTTGTGAGGATAATCTTACCTTCGGAATGGAGCGTGTTTTGTGGAGTATTTGCTGTTCCATTATGACAAAAGGCTTTAATTCCACCAACTGGTCTTGCTGCTTTTCTCTCAGTGTATTTAGAGAGGCAGATTTTTAACTGTCATTCAGCTGCAGTTCATCACTGCTAATGTAATAAAGGATCAGGCCCATTATCTGTTCACTGGAGGGAAAAAAAAGGCAAGAAATGCCTTCTGGAGGATTATATGGATTTTGAGAGATGTAAACAAAAGTAATACATTAAGACCAATGAAAAAAAAAAACCCAAATATGTCAACCAACAAAGACTGAAAACCAGCTGCAAATATTTGTAGTATCTGTCTTATTTTTTTTTGTGATTTTACTTTAAAAGTGCTGTAAGGGGATGATTTGAAAGATTTTAATTTAAACAAAGTGTTGTTTTTTTTTTTTTTCTGCCAATGATGTTTATTCTTAAAATGTATAAACTTTAGGAGGCTGCCCTGACTCAGCCTTTGGGCCCTCACCTATGC